TTTTCATGAGAAGCCACTTTGAAGATATCAATATGTAATACAACCACCATTGTTAATTCCCTACCACTTTGTTTGTAACTCTGTATTGTCTGTATTGTGCTTGTGATATGTTGTAAAATGTTGTATGTCTGTTAAAGTTTCCCTCCTTTTATCCTTAAAAAAAAAAAAAAAAAAAAAAAATTTTGAAAAATAAATGTAAGAGATTCTTTACTCATCAGCAAGAAAGCCAAATTCCAGCACAAATCATGTTTTGCTATATGCAGACCACACCAAATAACGTGTGCTGACACAGGAAAGCCATGGCTCATCATTTGTAAGTCTTTTTCCAACATGTGTCTGCAAGACGTGGGGAGTCCGCCTCAAGGGACTATCTCAGTAACATGTAACATGATCTCTCTGTAGGCTCTGTGCTTGGTACAGGCTTAGCATCTGAGACTTAAAGCTAGGTAACAGGCTCTTTACATGTTGATTTGCTCAGTAACATGAAGATGTCCTGGGCAAAATAGAAAAAAATCAGTTAAGACAAATAAAACATTGTGAAGAAACATAAGCAAGCAACAATGGTGTAAGGAGTAAAATAAAACAAGTAAGATCAGGAGGTTGAGGAAGGAGAAACTCAGATTTGAGGCCAGACTGTATGGTACACAGCAAGACCTCATCTCACAACAAACACAAACAAATAAGGAAGAACGTTTGTCAGCAACACAAAATTTGTCTCAGAAGCTTCTAAAAGGATATATGTGAGGACAGCATTGCCTAGAGATACAACAAATACCACCTAGTGAGAGTGAAAAAGTAAACTGCTCACCGTTTCCACTTTCTCATCTCTTGTTCAACCAAATTTTAAACCATGGTGGTTTGGCTTCCGAAATCTCTTTCCCACAAATTAAAAAAAAAACTTTCTTCAGGAACAGCACCAAGGAATTTCTAATTGTCAAGTGAGATGTCCTCTTTTCAGTGTTCAGTCACATATAGTCCGAAAACACTACACATCAGCATTCCTCACCCTCAGGCTCCCTTAATGCCATTTCTGATAGGCTTTGATGAATCCTCAACTTCACTGGTTCACTACCCTGTCAATGCTCATGTTATTTAGATCTCTGCCTCCATTTCTCTTTCAGTGACTTGCTCTCTAAAAATGGCATTTTAGCCAGGCATGGTGGTGCACGCCTGTAATCCCAGCACGTGGCAGGCTGAGGCAGGAGGATCACTGTGAGTTCAAGACCAGTCTGGGCTACAAAGTGAGCTCAAGGCCAACCTGAACTGCACAGTGAGCCCATCTCAAAAAGATAAAACAATAATAATAAAATAAATAAATAAAACAGCATTTTAAATTATCAAAGTTTCAACTATATAAGAATGTAAACATTACTGAATTCCTAAATTCCCAAGTTCTGCTTCCCTCTTGAGATTAAGATATTTGCAAGTCTTTACTCCTTGGACATTTTGTTTAAAACAATTCAACTGTTAACCAATTGTTAAACTTCAATTATCAAATCTTTCAATTTCTCCCAATCCATATAAGTACTGTAAGCCATCACTGAAATCTGTACAATTCTAGTCCTGCAATCTGCTCATTTTTACCTTGGCTGTACAGCCCGTAATACTTCACTATTACATTTCTGAAGCAACATCCTCAATAGCCTGCTGGTCTCCAATCACTCCATTTTCTAACTGTCACCTCCGATTTACTCTCCACACATGCCAGAATTATATTTTTGAAATCAATTCTGATCATTTCATGTTGGTTTGTTTATGATATCTATAACTTGGAGCACAAATCCACATCTCTTACAACAACTGTCTCCTTAAATTAAGGAGAAATTAAATTAATTTGGCTGCTATTTTTGCTCCTACTCTCTATTTCTCACCTTACAGCATTCCTACAGCACTGCACAGCCCAAGATAAATTAATCCCTCTGTCCCCTAAGTCCATTCCTTCTTGCTGTTTTCTACCTCCCCAAGAAGACTCCATCAGGACAGCGCTTATGCATCTTTTAAGACCTAACGCACACCATGTTCTATGAAGCACTTTCGAGACTCGTCCCAGAAAATCCACAGCTCTTTTCCCATTTTGGATTCCAACAGTACTATCTACATAGCTCTACTACCCATTTACTCAGAGGTCTGCTGAGGTCCTGGTTTGTGCACTAAAAAATGAATCAAAACTAAAAAAGAGTATTATCACACAGTTTTCAAGAACAAGATTAAAAAATAAACTGTTACTATTTGAGACTGAAACAAAATCCTACAAAAACTGTATTCAGGGTTAGATTATCAACTCTTAGAGTAGGTGCTACACAGGTAAGATTTTAAACCACAGTAGTTACCTTAACACAAAGCACAAACTTCAACATTGCGAATACTATAAAGCTTACATGCTGAAGTTTTATTTAAACTGATTTTGTTATCTGAAACCATTTATAGCATTTAAAAAATGCTCAGGCTATTCTATTTAATGATTATTGTTGTTCTTTGTAGAAAGCTAAAGGCCTAAGGAATACCGAAAGCAGGTCTTTCTTTCCGGAAACCAGCTACGTTTGCCCAGCATCCAGTGGGGCACCCAAGAATGGCCAGGGAGGGTCCTCTGGGTACCCCCACCCAACCTAGCACCTGGTCAGCCCACCTTGGGGCTGGGGAGCCTGCACCAATCCCGTTCTCAGCTGGCAGTGAACTAGTATGCAATACTCATTTTCTCCCTCCACGAGGCCCTGCAGGTGCGGTGAAGGGTGGCCAAGTGCCAGCCTGCCTGCCTGGCCCTGCCACCCCCTCACGGCCTTCAGATCCCTTCAAATTCATGCTAGGGATTGTTGGTTACATTTAGTGTTTTTATTTTGGGGTGGGTACCAGAAATCAAACTCAGGACCTCACACCTGCCAGGCAGGCACTGTGCCACTGAGCTAAATCCCTGGCCCCTAATGTTTTTTAAAAGAAAACAAAAACGAAACAAAAACCAGACTTGCTTCTCTGTTCTTGAAGAGTAACTGAATGGGGCCATGTGGGTGGGGGCTAGGACACTTCTCAGCCAGCCCCACGCCTGCCCCAAGCCTTGTAGAGTTGTCACAGTCCGACAGTCAGCAGGGGTGACATACACTCTCCAGTCCTCTGGTCGCCTGCTATCTGTGGTCTGCCTTTCCAAAGACCAGGTGGGGAGGAGTGGGGCTGCCTGACCTACCCTACTCCTGCTCCCCATGTCTTGTCAATCTGGGGTTCTCTGCCTTTTCATATTGAGAGACCAAAGAGACCTTCCCCTGCTGCAGGTGCCTGTGGCCACTTGACTTCAGAATGCCGGCCATAATATAAACAGCTATGATCTTTTGTAGTAAGAGCAATAAAAATGCTCATTCCATAACAAAGCAAAACAAAAATGTCCCAGTAAAGTAGAAAGATGTAGGAAAAAGAAAATCAGCTGTACTTTCTATCATCCAGAGATACCTACTCGCAGGTGTAAGTGGCCTGTAACTCATGCTAAGAAGGTGGACTTGACAGCAGAGACACTGAAGATGCAGAAGTTGCATACCCACAGCAATTTACAAACTAAGAAGGACAAACAGGATGGCTATAACTGTGGGAAAGCAACACAGTCCTTTGAGCCAATAACTCTCCTTTGACAGTCTCTTCCACAAGGACAGGAACGCCTCGCTCCTGACAGGAAGTATGGACTCATGCTCACCGGGACTCTCGGCCGCCCTTCAGCGGTTACTTTAATAGAAACCTGAAGCTGTGGCAGCAGAGTATTTAGAGAAGAAGGATGAGCCAAGAACCTTGGAAAAACACCTATACTGAAGAAATGCACATTCAGAGAACTAAAAGCGAAAATGAAGAAAATCAGGATGGCACGGGATCATGGAATTCAGACAACAGAGGGTTTCAAAACAGGTGTGATGAGCACTCTTAAAAGTGACATCCAATACAGATGAGCCTTAGACTGACAATCAAAGCTTGGGTTTCTGACTTGGATTTGGTTCTGCCTAACAGAACCTCAGACCCTTCATCTAAAAATGAAGAGGCTACATGGTTTTAGCAGAGACCTTCTTCAGCATCACTCTTCTTGTATCTGGAGTCTGGGCCAAGGCAGAATGCTTAAAAGGCTGTGGGAAAGTAAAGGCTGTTGTATATTCTTATTTCAAGAACACTGGTACTACTGAAAAGGACAAAACTAAGGGTACAGAGTACTCAGTTGTACAACGTAATAAATATATTATAACCTTACCCAATATATTCATCTTTGTTCTCCTCAGTCACCAGGATATTAGAACCTCCCAACTTCAGGTCATGTGAAGTGACCTTACCCAAAATCTCCATGTCAACACAGAAATACATTTCTAAGCCACATTCCTCAATGTTGTTATCTCTTATCCAGATAAGGGAGTTATAAAATTCAGTATCAATGGATTCCAAATCCTTAATAGTAAGTTTTTTACTTAGCATGCGCTTGTAGAATGGTAAAGAGAAACCAGTATCAATAAACTTGCCATGAAATAGTGCC